CAATTCAGTATGATTCAAAGAAACCATGTATTGGCCCAAGATCGAGCATCTGGTATCCTTCGGTCCCACGGTTATGAGCTGTTCTATTCAAAGAACTACTTACCTACACTCTGTAAATTCTTGCGACGGAACTGTTTTATTTTATTCTAATAAATAATAAATAGTTGATAGAATATAAGTAAATAGAAATGACCTACAACACAATGGTCCGGATATCGAATTGAGACTAACGACATCTAGGAGGATGACCGATAGACATCACGTTCAACAATCTATCGTTAAATCGAGGAGGAAAATCTGTAAACTCTGTATTAGGGGTCATTAACTACCCTGATCCACAGGTTTACATTTATAAATGCGCCGCAGGGCCATTGTTGCTAACATAGTTTTCTGATACATTTCCTACTGTCGAAGTGGTGATTGCTGCGAATCACTTCGGAGAAACTCAGCGTCTGTCTCACCACTGTGTGCGAGACAGGACTTTTCACCTTGATTCTGTGTGTTCTCGATGGCGATCGGTTGACAAAATTCTCCTTAGCTGTGTTTATTCAACATTACAAGTAGAAAAGAGCTCAGCAAAGCGGCTCGAAATGGCTTCTCTTAAGCGAGATTTTCACTCAGTTTTTGGCATTTCCAGGAGTGCATCATAGAGAAAGTGAACCTATTTTTTGTGTTCTTATATGGACCCCAACAAATGCAAAGGACCATTTTTAAAAAAAAGCGCGCCGACGCGTGTGACTGATGACCTCAGTTGTAAGCCCTCTTCCTTAAAGAGGTCTTTCGCAGCTAGGCCCAAGCGGTCGCGCTTCATTAAAGGCAAGTTCTCTTGCAGCAGCGAAGTACCCTTTCCTAATAGAAGTGCGATGTACAGTTATGGCTAACCCCTCGTAGCGCCTCTCCAAGGGAGGTACCCTTATAGTGCCCTATCAAGCCACAACATACTGAGCATACCGACCCGGGTGCCCACCGCGTCTGTCCACCCACAAGTGGATGACCGTACCTGCGCTGGTTTTGCTTCATCTGCTGAGTAAAATATGAAGCGAAGGGACTAATATGAAGCGGCTGTGGTGCTGCATGGAAACCTAGCATATACGTGCAGCCGTATCTGTCATAGCGGTTATTGGCACGATGCCAACGGGAAACTCGTCCGAAATATGCTTCCTGAGTTTTTGAGAACGAAGGCTTTTCTTTGTTCTTGACCGTTTCACTTCGTTTTTTTTTCGCCGTTCTCCCCACTATGTAGCACCCTGCTAGCAATTTACAATGAGCACCGAATAATCGTTCCATATACCTTTAGCGTCTGCTACCGAGAAGATACTTTTGGAATAGAAGTCTCCGCTGGCAAAATTTTTTCATGGGCGAATTTGTTTCCCTGTTTTGGCTCGCGAAACGGAACCCTTAATTCAGACACTCTCGAATGCGCTCCTGGATGATGGTTAGCCTCTTAAAAAACGGAACTGTTCAATTTAGTCTCACGTGCTCCAAAGTGTATGCCACTGCACTACTACAAGTGCATCAAATGTCCCTTCCAATGCGACACAATTAAAAATCTAATGGACCTCATCGCAGCACCGCCATGTTATGGGCATCCTTGCCGCAGTCTGAATTTGAACCTGGCCCTCACGCCTTCACTGCAAGAGAGCTGACCACTACATCCGGAAGCGCATAATTTCTGCTTACAAGATTTTGATTTCGATGCCAAAAGCTGTGAAAGGAGCTCACTGAAAAACTATTTTGCTGACAAGTCTATGTGCCACACTATCTAATGTCCTTTGAAATATTCAAACATTTATTCGTTCATGTGATTATTGAATTAACAGATCACTTAGTCTAATGAACACTAATTGACACATGGACATCATAACCCGTTTAAAAGGCGTCAAGGTAGGAGAATACCGGAAATTACAATCATGACCAGAGCGATCACCGACGAGGTAAGACCAGGAGATGATTAGACGCTAGCATTTGCAGGTTATTCAGAAAACACATAATTTTGCGGCACCATGAATGATCACCAAAAAGAGAACGAATGAGAAATAATGCACTTATGAGAAGTGATAGGAAAAAGAAACCAATTCGGTCGTGCTGTAGAGGTTCGACTCACCCTTAAACTTCATCGTTGAAGTAGCAGAACTCGTCGAACTGAAAAAATTTCGTTATTGAAAAGAAAACGTGAGTGCAATGGGATGTGTGGCAAGAGAATCGTTATTCGCTGCGCCCGTGGGCGACGCGTGCGACGTAGCGTCTGCTAATGATGACGTGGTATTGGTCGAGAATAGGCAGCATATGCAGGGTACAGTGTCGTGTGTGAAACCCTCAGTGGGGGTCGTACTTGGGGACGAGGGATGAAGGGCTGCGTACTTGGGCCGCTGGCTCAACGTGCTACGAATTTCGGCAACACCCCTCCCATTCTAAAGGCCCCTTTTATTAAATCTTATCAGGTGGTTAGGCTCCGTTTAGCGGTTTCTTTTTTGGTTTGTTTCTTTGCTTAGATCGCACTGCGCGTGGCGGGCGGGGGGGTGGGGGGGGGGAGAGGGGCGGCGCGGGGGTTGGAGGCGGTGGGGGGGGGGTTGGGGTGGGGGGGGTGCGGGGTGGTGGTGGGTGGGGGTGTAGCGCGACCCCCGCGGGCCAACGCGAACGCGACGCCAATCGCCGTCCTGTCACCCGACCCTAAAAATTGTTTCCCGTCCTGCCTTTATATCAGTATCGTGCGAACTGCTCACCTGTCTTTTCTTCGACGCTCCTAAGATTTCTGTCGAAACCACACATACAGGACAAGACGCAAACATTCACACACACGATAACAACGCACCCAGACAACATTTAAGGAATTATATAGTAGTACGGATACCACACACACACACACACACACACACACACACACACACACACACACACACACACACACACACACACACACACACACACACACACACACACCAACAGACAAACTTAGCGGATTATATATAGTAGGATCTTTTCACCTAACTGAAATTGAGAATGGTGGATTTGTAGCAACCACCTAGAAAGTAGTCGATTTTAACTTTATTGCTTTTTATCTGATGATTTTGAGGCGCTGAGTTTACACTGCTATCCAATAAATGCCTCTCTCACTTCGCGGGCGGCGGGTGTGTCAGATACGCTGTCCCCTCAGGTAAGCTAGCAAGCCGCAAATCGTTAAGTATCTATCCTTCTCGCGCTAGTTCTCACAGTTAGGGCCGGAGAGAGGATTGGGGGGGGAGGGCGGAGCCACCCGGGACCTCACAGCCATTATCAGACATACACGAAATCGCGTGTACCTCACCAACTACCAAAAATGCATGTCCTTGTCTACAGGAAATCCGACGCTCCAAGCGAGAGGGTAGTGCAAATAAGCAAACGTCGCGCCCGTTGCCGCGCGCGATCCAGCGCGATGCTAGAGCTCTGAGGATTTTGAATACATGGCAGCCACTGCTCAATATTTCATTCATTCGTAGCATTGAAATGGTAATGGTAACATCTTTACCATTATCATTACTCGTTTCTACTCCTTTCCCACTTTAGACTTTGGATTTCGTTCGTGCCTATTCCTACACATTCCCACAAGTCTCTGCCAGAAGATCTATTATGGCTCTATTCTCAAAGGCATGCCCGGGGTTAAAGAATGGTGAATTGTGCGGTCAAAGTGCTACTGATGACAGGGTGGAGGCAGTTCAGTAGTGAAGGAAAAATCAGGAAAAACCACTCAATTTTACCAATATATTACCCATGCCGAAATGGGCTATAAGTGCATGGGGCGAAAATAGCCTATGCTCAAAAGATTGCCTTTCTTGTCAATATAAGCTCTTTCTCGTGTCACCTCACTCTTACCATTCCGAATGGAGAGTGTTAGTAGCGGAACAACCGTACCACCAGGAACCATTCAGAAATGTAAGGCGCTGCATCCGTACCTTTAAAGACAGGACTCACGGGACGTTGCCGTCGTCACGAGCGGGCCGCGCCTTCCTCAGGTATTTTTGCGAAGGTAGTACCTTCACTGCGCTTGCGGACAAGGGTAATCCTGTCTACAAGCACATTAGTTTCATTGGAAGGACGGCGTTCTGCAGCACAAAACCGTACGGCGGCGGTCCGTACCTCTCAAAGGGAAGAACTCGCCGATCGCCAGAAAGTACTGAACGTGAAACGAGATACGACAGTTCCCCCGTTCTAGCTTGGCCTTCAATATTATTTCCAAGTTAACCTGTGGCTTTCAAAAAGGCAAACGTCGTCATGCGATTTCCAGTTTATTTACAACGGAACCTTACACTAACTTACAAAGTCAGCCCGTCACTTGCCATAGACATTCACCAGTGTCAGCACAACTATGCACCCCTCCCCTCTTTAGCCAACTCCACTTCTGTCATTTTTGTGAGCCCGTCATGTATCTCCCTCACTGGCAAGCTTCTCATCATAAAAAAGCGCGCAGCGGTACTGAGGCAGAACTTTGCCCACATGAGGACGCTGAGTGCTCAGGACTATGGCCTATGAAGTTAGAATGCAGATTTCGACATATTTCAAGCTTGCTGAGAGCCACAGCCACTGGGAGGCGGGCAGGAGAGTCGTAATTTGACGCTCCGCCGCGCGGCCATGGTTTTCTTCACTCCTGTTAACCGGAGCACCAGACTTCATGTAGACCCGTCATCGTAGACATTCATGACTATTTTCGGTTCTGAATTGCCTGTTGTCGCCATCTACTACCTGGAACCATCGTCATTTGCGGGCGCGACGTCGCACGCGACGCCCACCAGCGCGGCGAATTACGATTCTCTTGTCACATATCCCCACTAGCCACGGTCATACCTCCTCACTAGTTCATTTGAAATACATAAAGCTGGAAATAACGTTGACAATATTGGCACAAACTTTTCAGGAGATCTTCGGAATTTTATTTTGATTTATTGATATTCCAGCACCAGTAATTCTGTCATATTTACCACTTCGAAATTTGTAAGAAAAACAGGCCTGATTATATACTATTTTGATCAACATGCTTGAAAACCGACCTCATAATTCTCGTTAAAACATCCGAGATTTTCTTCGGAGTCCCAATCGATAACATCCAGCACAGCTGTTGTCTTCCCATTCTTCAACACATCCTCCAGGGGATTGTACTGGAATTACAATCAGATGTATATGTGGAGTTGAGGGTATGGTCGTATATTTCAAAGTTTATTGGACATTTCGCTACATCTGCCCAACATTACGTACATAAGTATCGCGTTAAACTGAGTGAGCGCACTATAAGAGGAGACCAGTCTGCATGCACAGTGATCAAGTTGATTAATCGGCTCGAAGGTGAGTTGCAAGGGCACTAGGGGCCTAGCAGGAACCTAATGACCGCTGGCAATGTCACCTTCAAGGATATAAGGCCCGCGTTTGTATACAGGGGGAGCAAAAAAACACTTTTCTTCCTCGACTTTCAAGGCGATATTACACTTTATCAGATCCGATTGGACATTTCCATCATTACATTCAACAAAACACTGTACACTATTACACTCCGCCACAGCCTTCTGGAACGAGCGCCATCGAGAGATTCTGCCACGCGACCGTGATTCGGTGCCTGAGTTCAGCGAGGTCGTTGATTTCTCCGCCACTGTAGACCACCCTGTTGAGCTCCTCCCGAACCCGGTAATCGAGGGGGTTTAGGTCAGGTGACACACTTGGATATTCCGTCTTCTTCAGGTTCTCAACGCCCTTCGATTCCAAGTAGGCGAGAGTTTTTCCAACGCCCTTCGATTCCATGTGCTGGCACCCAATCCTGTAGCAGTACGAAGTTTCCAAGATGGTACAGGCTGGATATTCTCTTGAGTTGGTCGATGCAACCG